ACCAAATAGTTCATTAACAGGGCTGTTCATAAACCAAGGTACCACTGTATGTAGAATGCAAAGTTTACAGGTGTCAGAAAAGGTTGGCTGTAGCCAGCATTTTTGTGTTCCCAACATATTAAATGCTTCCATGTTTACCTGGAAGAGCTTGAGCCCATCCAAGTTGCACAGGGTAAGAATGATCACCAACGATCCTGGCAGCTTACTGTTCCTTTTTCCACTGATCCCTAATACGGAATTCACCTTTTTCAGCACTGTAACACACTGTGTCAATATTTTCATTGAACTACCCACCTTGATCACAATATCTCTTTCCTGATCAGCCACTACCAGATAAGACATCATTAGTATATATGTGAGATTGATTTTTTGCTCCAATGTGCATCACTTTACACTTGCTTACATCTAATCACATTTGCCATTTTGATGCTCACTCACTGAGAATGGAGAGATAAATTTGGAGCCCCTTACAATCCCTTTTTGGGTTTTACCACCCTGTACAATTTGGTACCATCAGCAACCTAACTCTTAATTCCAGATCATCTATGCACAAGTGAAAACATGGATCTTTATCTCCCTGGTTTCATGTCATGCACACTTAGACCTCACAGTGGAAGATGATGGAGACAGGGCACTTTGCACAAAACAGCCTGCCCACAGAACAAACATAGAAAACTTGAGCACACTGCTGTTCCTAAATTCCCAAGAAGGCCTCTCCTCAGGACCCCGGACACAAACACCAAACAACTGCAGGTGCCAGGACAGCATCAGGCGGAACAAGGAACGGAGGACAGAAACAATACTGCATAGCTATCATAACTGTCTCTCATGTCTCCCCCAACCCTCCTTACTATATACAAATACTGTATATTGCTTTAACACTCTTCCTCCAACAGCAGGGAGCACTGTCTCCCACACACAAGAAAGCTCTCTGCTGATAAATAGCAGGCATTCCACTCATTCCCACTGCTGGAAGTGACTCCTGGACAAATTTGCCTTGCGTGATCACAGCCCAGGTGCATGGGGAGCACACCAGCAGCAGCAGTGGAGAATCTTAAGCCTGACAGGTCTCCTAATTTGACCCTCAAGGCTGTTTTGGGCTGACACACTCACCTGACATCATATTATGTCAGGCAATAAACGGTAAAGAAGAAGTTGCAAAGGAGCAACCAGTTTGTGTGTGCTTTGGAGTGGCTCCCAATTGTTCTTTTGCAGTCCCAGCTTGCATTCACCACTGTTTAAATTTGGTGCTGAACACAAGCCCCATTGCTTTTTGGGTTGGATCGGTTTCTCCTGGCTCCATAGGATGTCAAGTGACGGACAGCCAGATGTCATGTGTGGCCTCTGGAAGATTGGCCACTATTTGATCTGGCCATCCAACTAAGAGTGGTTCTCAGTTTACAGAATCCCACTGCAACCCCGAAGGTGGTGGAGGCGGCACCATTTGCTCTTCTTTCTCTTCTCCCTCTCACACATTCATCCAGGGACTATGTGCTCCAGCTGCTGACAAAAGTCATGGTTCATTATCTGTGTCTCCCTTGCACTCTCCCAAGAACTATCCCATACCTGTTCTGTGTTGAACAGGAGGGTGGCCCACACCATACCCAGCAGCAGTGGTGTTCCTTGCAGTTAGTCCAATGACTAAGATTGTTAGCCTACTTGCCAGGGCCAGATAGACTATCAGCAAAGTACGATAAGAAATTCAAAGACTATCTGGCACAATCATTAAAAGACGTAATGAATCAGATATTAATCACAGGGAAGGTGCCAGATTCCTGCATAGATGCCTATATCACACTTATCCCAAAACCGGAAACGGACATATTGTTAGTCAAAAATTATAGGCCAATCTCTCTATTAAATAATGATTATAAGTTGTCTGCATAACATATTGGTTACAATACCATCAACTTAATTATATATTCAAGACTGACAAAAATATTTCTTTAATGAAACCTCTAAATTTGAAAAGGAGCTGTTAGAAAATAAGACTAAATTACTTTCAGAAATGTATAAATTATTATTAGAATGGCATACGGAAGACGAACAGGTCAAATCAGTAATGATATACTGGGTGAGGGATTTTGGATATAATACAATCAGCAGCATGGGAGAAGTTATGGAATTGGGACTTAAAATTTACAGCGTGCTATACTTTGAAAGAAAATTATATGAAAATGATGTGTCGTTGGTATTTAACTACTCGCAAATTAGCTAAAATGTATAAAGCAAGATCAAACACATGCTAGAAATGTAAGGAAAAAGAGGGCACCTTCTATCATATGTGGTGGACTTCTAAAGTAGTAAAAGAATTTTGGGAGATGATATACAATGAATTAAAAAAAATGTTTAAAATAACCTTTTCTAAAAAAACAGAAGCTTTTCTTTTAGGAATTGTAGGTGCCGAAATTCCAAGCGACCAGAAAAGACTTTTTATGTATGTGACTACTGCTGCCTGGACACTACTAGCCCAGAGATGGAAAGAAGGCACAGTCCTTACCAGAGAAGAATCACAGATTAAACTGATGGACTATGCAGAAATGGCAAAACTGACCGGAAGAATCAGGAAGAGCAAAATTTCAATAAGGAATGGGGGAAATATATAATTTAACTAAAAAATCATTGTAAACAATTAAAATTATTAGTAGAATTGGTATGACACCTGTAGTTAAAAGTTGGACTATGGTTTTATCGGAGATTTAATAGAATTGGACTAACAGAGAAGATGCAGCAGAAAAAGTGAACATAAGGACCCACAAAAGGGGAGGAGGGATGTCCAAGGGAACTTATGGAAATTGTTTTATTTTTTTGCTTGATGATTGTTTGTTAATCTGAACATTTACATAAATTTATAAAAAGAGATTGTTAGCCTACTTGTCCCTAGCAGGCTCCTGTACTCTTGCAAGCTCCATGACAGACAGTCTGGCAGGAGGTGCAAGTGTTCCTAGCACGGAACTGGTGTACAACCAGGGGCCCTGCTGAGGCAATTGATTTGTAGCATCACGTGTCTTTCTTTCACTGAAGCTGCTCAATAAAGGCTCTGACATTGGCAAATGGTGTATCTCTGTTGTTGGAGAATGCTGAATTCTTTTCCCATCTAGAAAAATCTGGCTTCACCTAGCCTCAAGATGGGACTGTGAGAAGGAGCAGGGAGCTTCATGGGCAGTGGCTCTGCTTCTCTCTAATCACTTAATTTTGCAGGACTGTGAGGGATCAGGTCTCTCAGGGTGCAATAGTGGGCAGAGAGAGATGAGGAGCAGGGGCAATGAGCCCAGCTGGGATGCCACCCAACAAGGTTGGTCCACCAGAAGAAAGGTGGGAGATAGATTGGGGGGGGGTTGCCAAGGGAGTTGGTGGACCAAAGGGACTATGGGCCTATACAGTGCTCCTCCTAACAGGTTCAGATGTGCCACATTGTGCTGATCACTTCCCACCTTTCCTAGTTTGGGGGTGTACCCGATCTGAACCAGGACCCCAAGAATGTGAAAAATAAGCTATCCTGCTAGTCCAAGGCTCCTCCTCTAGGCTTTGTACTCCTGGCAGTTATGAGTGGGTGTTGGGTTTAGGGACCAGGAGCCAAATGGCCCACGAGTGCAATTCCTGTCTACTGCTGTGGCTGCTTAAAAAACTGCCCTGTGAAGCTTGCTGTGTGGGTTCAAGTTCTGAGAGCATCACCTCTTCTGGTTCTGACATGTCTTGGGGGGTAGCAGGTGGGGGCAGGCATGTAAAAGGTGAATAGGGTTCTCCAACTTCTCAACCCTGTACCCTATGAAGTGAGTTACTGAAAACAGCTGCTTTCAGTTTGCGTCTTCCCATGGTTTCTTAGCAAAAGTGTTTTCCCCCTAGCTGAGTAGGCACTTCTCCCAAGAGGCCTGTGTGTGTCCTCTGCAGGTATCCTGCTGAGGAGCTATGTAGACACTGTGTTTTGTATCCTCTCCATCCTTCTTTTGGGGAGTTGTGCTTTAAAACAGCACTTGTGAGCAGCTTATGGCATATGGGGATTTGAACTCCTGTCTGTTGGAATGCCTGCAGACTTGCAGTATCAGGTTCACTGCTGGCTGTGCCACAGGGGCTGAGAATGGGGGTGCCTTAAGTGATGTGTGTATGGTGAGGCATAGTGTGTCCCCAATACTGTGAGCTTCATTGGCTCCTACCGTGTGTCGCTGGAATATGGGCACAGTCCCAAACTGGTGAGAACTGGTGGACTTTCAAGGAGACACTTGGTGCATATCTGATATTTTTACACCATTTTTGTATCTTCGGATTGTGCAAGTTCCTCTCCCGTCCATCCAAATTAAACATGCAATGGATACAGCAGTTTTTCAACCTGCCTAACAGTTGTGTACCTGAAGCCCCAGAGTAATAAAAGTATTTTATTGTTCTGTGAGTGATGTAGTGGCTAGGGTGTCCAAAGCCATAAAACTGACTTGCTGACACTTTGGCCATTCAAGAATGATCCTATCTCATAGGTTTGCTTTGAATATATGCTGCTCTAAGCTTCCTGGGGGAAAGGATGAGATAAAAACGTTAAGTCAGTAAAAATAAAGTTCTCCTTCGGAAATAAGCAAATAAAATATTTAAGTTCCTCTTTGGAAAGAAAGCAACCAAAGGCAGCTTTTGGGTCTACAAATTTCTTGTGCTATTTTGGGGCCTTGGGTGGCACTGCAATTGAAGGTTGCACCTCTGAATTTTGCAGAAACCATTTTTCTCTCTCTTTCTCTTTGTGCATGCCCAAAATATTACCAGCTCCAAAAAGACACCAGCCATGTCATTTCTACATATTGCTTTCATACTGGGCTACCTAAACTGGATTATTTCAAGGGGCTTAAGTGCAGCTAACTTCCACAGGACCACGCTGCGAGTCCCTGGGCGCTGCATCCCACAAGACACAGGTGAGCACAGAGGCCTCCGCGGGCACAGCAGCTCCCAGATTTCACCCAGAAGTCCGAAGGCGCAAAGCAGAGCGAGAGCAGGGAGGCGAGAAGCAACGGTGGCCGAGAAGCAGCAAGAGCTGTAAAATGCAGATGTGACTCCCCGCACGCGCCCAGAAGGATGTTTTCGAATTCTTCCCCTCAGGACTTTGGGGCAGCACCAACCTAAGACGGAGCAAAGGCATGTTTTTGCCTCCTGGCCAGTCCGGAACTTTCCCCACAGCCTGTTAAACAGAGACCATGAGCTGCTACGTCTGCAGCTCCGGCTGATCTCGGGAGGGGACGAAACTCGGGTCCGCCTTCCTTTCAGGCTCTTCGTTAGCTTTCCTTGCCGGCACCCGCCAAGACGCGGCTTGCGGGGCGCTTACTTGTGAATAAACACGGGCAAGCACGTGACAGGCGCCGGGGCGGCCAGGGAGGCGGGACCCTCGTCCGCCCGAACGGGGCCTGAGGGGGGGTCTCCGGTGTTTCCCCCCCCACGGGAGGCCGGTGGGCGCAGGGGGTGGGGTGGCAGGGGCTGAGGGGGCTTTCCGCGCCTGCCGCCCCGGAATGCTTAAAGATTAAAACAAGGCACAGACAGAGCCCTTCCTTCCTCCTCCTTTCCCAAAGTAAGCCCATTACCTACCCCGCTGCCCGACGCCATCTTGCCCAGGAAGCGACCCGGTGAGTCGTAAAGTGTCGCGCGCGCCGCCGTTTCCCCCCCGCCTCCCGCCACGATCGTAAAGCACCGACAGGAAGCGGCGCCGGCCCGGCAAGTGCTTCCGGTTTAAGTGGCCGCCCGCGAGCACATAGAGCCAGCAGATGTTGAAGAGTGACACACGCAGCCTTCGCCGAGATCCCTTCCTCCGCGGCCTCCATTTCCCGCCGGTCAGCGGGCCGATATTGTTGTTTTTATCGGTTACACTTTAGCGGTGCTTTGTAGTAATTTCTGGGAGTGAATTTCCGTTCATCTTTCTTCTCGCTGGTATTTTTAGGGTTAACTGTGTCGCGCACCGGTAGATTCAAAGGGTCTGTTGATTATTGCTTCATTTTATGCCAGTTGTTTTTAAAAATGACTTGCAATAATTACGGCTTACTTGGTGTTGGATCCGATTGTTATTAGGAGCGTGAACTTCATTGCCTGATCTGTTTCCCTCAGCTTGACAACCGCCTTGTGTGCAGCAAGGCAGAAAGGCGGTGTACAGATTCAAAGTGGCGATAATGATGAGAATCAGGAATGTGAATATCATAATATAAGGTGGTTGGGCATCCCCACCCCAATCTGCTGTAACAAGCAACTCTCTACCCATATATTGTTTTGCTTTCTATTTATGTACCAATCCTGGGGGCTTGGCGGCGGGGGTGGGGGAGCAGCGGGGTGGTGGTGTAATATGGAACAGCTCACTGTGGAAAAGTGGCATATAAATAAATGCGATCAATCAATAAGTTCCTGGAGATGCAAATTTCCCCATCTGCCATGAATCCAGTAGGTGGTGACCTTAGGCAAACCAACATTTCCTTCTTGGTCCTCAGATTCTGTGCCCATCTGCTAAAACGTGGAAATTAAACATTTTAATTTTTGCTAAAACCCCACCTCATTGTCACTTCAGCCTGGCCATCTTAAAGGGCAGCTGTGTGAGGACTGTTCAGCTAATGGGGGAGCTGGTGACCGGGCCCAAAGTGGGAGACTTGGGCCTAGCTGACCTGGGTTCATATCTCCCAGCCAGCCACAGAACTCGCTAAGTGATCCTTGGAGCAGCCATTTCCTTTCACAGCCTCACCTTTCTCTTCTAGGTTTGGGGAAGGTGTGTGTATATTATGCATATGTACTTGAGCTCTGGAGAAAGCATGGTATAAAAATGTCACAAACATAACCACCAGCATGTTGTAAAATGATCCAATCGTTAAGCAGATTTCTTGGCTGCATTGCACAACATCCAAGAGTGTAGGTCCAATCTCCTGGGGGGCATGTTAGTAAGAACAACCGCTCATCGTTTCCAGGAGCAATGCACTCGGGATTTGCCTAATCACATAGTAATGGATGGCTTATGTGACTTCCCCACTAAAAGGAATTTTGTCATTCAGTTTTCCTTTTCTCTCCTTTCTTCATGCTGTATACTTCACAACAGTGTCTATTGCTAACTAGAATACAAGGAGTTCCTATTTGGCACAGCAAGACCTGAAATATCTGCAGTGGGGAACTCCATCTGCTGAGGTTAATTGCATAAATTCCCCACCATGCATTGGATCTGCCCCTTCTTCGCAAAAGCTTCCTACAGGAGTCGGCACCTGCCAGTGCGGTTATGCATCCTACGGGCCTTTTCCAGTCATCTCCCAAATCAGGTGTGTTTCATTTTCCACAGCTTCATCATCTAGTTCTTAGACTTTTGTGTTGTTAAGTTTTGAAGTACAGTGGTACCTCAGGATGCGAACAGGATCCGTTCCAGAGCCCCGTTCGCATCCTAAAGTGAACGTAACCTGTGTCCACGCGTCTGTGTGTGCGCAGGTCACGTTTCGGCGCTTATGTGCATGACGTCATTTTGACGGTCTGCGCATGCATGTGTAGTGAAACCCGGAAGTAACGTGCTCCATTACTTCCGGGTCGCCGCAGAGCGCAACCCGAAAATGCTTAACCCGAAGCGTATTCATCCCGAGGTATATGATTTACAGCAATACAGGAAGGTAAGTGTTGGTAAAAGTCTATTGTTCCTCCTTTTGTGCTTGGGTGTGCAGAAAAGCATTGCTCCTGTTTGAGAATCACGAAATCTTAGGGATTTTTGAGATCGATACTGTGTTGTTAGATTTTCTGGATAGAGTCAGTGGAACAGACTCCTTCAGAAGGTAGTGGACTGTCCTTCATTGGAGGCTTTTAAGCAGAGCAGGGGGTTGGGCTAGATGACCCTTAGGGACCCTTCCAACTCCATGATTCTATTATTACGTCAGGCACCTGTATCTCTGATTTTTTTTACTCAAATCTGTCTCTAAATGTTAGCCAAGCAAAAGTATTCATGTAATAGTTATTTTGGCCATCTTCTTTGTCATTGTGTCTTTTTTATTTACAAAGCACTCTTGCAGCCCTAGTATCTTTCTTTCAGTCAGGTTGTACTAATGCAACACTTGGGGGGTGCCATTAATTGCTGGCAAAGCATATAGTTTGCACACATGGAGATATTGAATGTTGCCTTATACTAAGTCAGACCATTGGTCCATCTAGCTCAGTATTGTTAACACTTTGCAGCAACCCAGTGGTGGCTTTCTTGGGTTTCAGACATGGATCTCTTCCAGCCCCACCTGGAGACATTGGGGACTTCTGCATGCAAAGCATGTGCTCTGTCCCAGAGCTGAAGCTCTTCCTTACCACACATGTTTGGTCCCTCATTCAGTCCTTGACATCTCTAGTTAAAAGAATTTCTGGTAGCTGGATTAGGAAAGCACATTCTGTCTGTCTGATAGCCTTGGAAATTGCTATCAGATAGATTGGTGCTAGATGGACCAATGGTCTGATTCAGTACAGCAGTAAGTAAAGAGTGAATCTATCAGGATAGCTCAGCTGAAAATAGATAAGGTAGCAGGCACAAGAGCAGGAGTTCCTAGGCTTGTAGCTTGTTAACAATGTACTCCTCAGGAAAGTTTTCAGGACTTCAACAAATGGACTAAATCTCTTTGAGGATGTTATCTTTAGAGAAAATATTATCACTTACCTGCTTTCTAGGTCCCCACTAAAACCTAGAATACTTTTAATGAAATTTCTATAGAATGAAATGTACAAATGTTAACACAGACACTGAACTCTGTGCTTGTATTTTGTGACAGTGACAGTTCAGTCTTGTCTGTTTTATCAAACCTGCTCTACTATTTTCCAGGTGATTGAAGATGTAATAAATCGGCCATCGTCACAGCTGGGAACTGCTACAGAAAAAGGAAACGTGATTATAAAAACTGCCAAAGTAATTCTGCACTTCAGCTACCCATCTGGGTCTTCTGTGTTCTGCTTCCTCTCCCAGAGTCCCCTTCAAGGGGTGTTTGGCTCTAGTCCTCCCTGCAGTGGAACAAGCTGTACATCATCCTCTGCACAATCCAGCCATTTCCCATAGAGCATGCAGCTTTTTAAAAAGCTTAATCTGCTGCTTGTTCAATTTTGTTCTCCCAATCACTTTCTATTATTTTTAGCTGTACTTGATTCTTATTTGGAGCTTTTGGGCATTGATCCAAATATTCAGTATTCAACTATTGAAGCATCTGGAAGCCCTTCAATAATTGGCTCTTGTTACTATTATAACTGTGTAATTTTTATTCAGCACTTCCTCCTTTTAAAAAGATCTATTCTAACCCCCCACCTTTTCCTCTGCCTGGACCCTTAGGGCACCAGGGATTTTAGCCCAAAGCAGATGGTCATTCGAGAAAAAATCTTCAGCACCATAATCAGCTGTTTCAAACGTCATGGAGCTGCAACAATAGATACCCCTGTGTTTGAGCGGAAGGTGAGGACAGTCACTTAGATCTTTTCTTTCAGAAATGGAACTGGCTCTAATGGCTGACAAAAATCATCTGACCTGTATCTCTTGAAGGCTGGCTGAGATTCTGCACATAGGTTGCTTCAATTCCATTAGATTCAGTAGAACTGAAACTCTGGATTAAGCCTTAGGCGAAAGATGGAAACTTTTGTAGGTTGACTCAACTGGTTTTGGTTAGTTCCAGATCTGTAGGACAAGTGAATGAAGCATAGCTTCTGCCATAGAAAATGCACTTGTTCTTTCTCATGAAGCTGGAGCTTTCATGTCTGGTTCCAATGCTTCCAGTATACCCTGGTTCAGGACATGCAGTCATTTGTGGAAAACAAGAAGCACTGAATAAATGTAACAAGGTTTTCTTCTTCTCCATCTCTTGCGCACTATCATTATTAGTTAAGCCATGTTCTGCCTACACGTTTCCTATAGGCATCTGGTTGACCACTGTGAGACTAGATGGACTAGATGGCCGGATCCAGCAGGCTGTTCTTACAAAGACAGAGCAAATAATAAATATTTCAGTGTTGCACAAGTCAGCTTTCCATGTTACACAGCCCTTTGTTTAATCAGTCATAAAATATGTACAACCTGTTGGGTGATAAGCAGCACGGATAAAGCCAGCAGAAGATGCTCAGCCCCAAAACTAAGATATACAAATTGCCTACACAGCATTGGCACCAAATCCCTTCCCAAACAACATGGCGGAAGGAAATCCTAATAGGGCCATTTCTAAAAAGGTACTAGCCCAAGGACTCTCTCAGGGTACTTCAGAGGGTGGGGAAACATGGAGCTTTAACAGAGCCTATGAAATTGTCCATGGAAGGATGTGGCCTTTTAGGTATCCCTTACCCAGCTGTGTAGGGATTTAAAGGTCAGCACCAGCAACTTGAATTGGGCTTGGAAACCCACTGGGAGGCCATGCAAAATTGGCATTGTGTTCTCTTTGACCCAGCTCAGTCAAAAGTCTAATGGCAGTATTCTGTAATGGTATTTCTGAGAATGCTTCAAAGGCAGCCCATATAAAGCCCATTACAGTACTCTAGTCTAGATACGACCAAAGCATGAATTACCTGTGGCTAGGTACAGAATAACTTTCTTAAAAGGAAATATTATTTGGGGGGGGGTACATAATGATATATCCCACGATATTAAACACTGGTCCATACTTGACAAAAGTTTTTGTTTTCTTTTTCTTCAAGGACCTCTTGTTGGATCACTATGGGGAGGAATCAAAGCTGGTTTACGAGCTGAAAGACCAAGCGGGAGAGTTGCTGTGTCTTCGCTATGACTTGACTGTATCCTACCAAAGGATAGGAAACGCTCCTTGACAGTGGGGGTTGCTGTCTTTCTTGGGTAAGATAGTAGAATTAGGATATGGCAACTTTGCCTCTTCCTGAAGAATGGAGATCATGTTGTATCCTGCATGCCAGTGATTGCTGTTGAATATAGGTTTCAAAATGCAACTGGTTCAGAAGACAGCTACCACTTTTTATTGGACTGTGGTTATAGGGAGCACATAAGATCAAAGGCTAAGTTGCCCTGCTTCCAGTGTGATTCTGGGCACAACCAAGTATGCTGATGTTGAAGTTTAAAGCCGTAAATTGTGCAAGGGCAGCATACCTTGGGCTTCAGGGGTGTCTTGTCCCAAGAAAGCCTCCAAAACAGTTGAGATCTTTTTGGGAAGTGCTGCTCCACATTCCATTTGTTAGGAAGATTCTTACATCAAAGCCAGAGCATGTTATCTCCTCTTTTGTGCTACAACTTTGAAATGTTCTACCTAGAGAGACTCTTCTTGCTTTGCCTCTACCAAGTTTTAGGTTTTTGCTATTTTTTCTGTCTTGGATCTATAATACATTTAGAAATGACAGTGAGTAAGTGAGAGAAGATACTTTCTACATTTAATGTGAGAGAACCATAGAAACACACCTAATTGTATATGTTCTTCAGAAATATTCTTCTGCAGCTTTTTCGGAGACATGTCTGCAACTGCTTTTAAACTTGTGCTTTTCAGAAGGCACTGGAACTAGCTATTCGTGAAGTAGGAGTGACATAATAGCAACCATAAGACTGCTGACAAAACAAGATTGTTCTTGCTCTGTGAACTACACACCATTTTTCTTAACAAAGGCTCCCCAGGTGCCATTTGCTCGTTATTTGGCCATGAACAAAGTTTCCCATTTTAAGCGCTATCACATTGCAAAAGTCTACAGACGTGAGAGCCCATCATTGGCAACGGGACGCTACAGAGAATTCTGCCAGTGTGTAAGTATTTGCAGGTTTCTCATCTATGGATAGAGAGTGAGCACTATGGAAGTTTCCTCTCTCAAAATATCAGGCTGGGGTAGGGAGGGAACAGAGGAATTGCAAGAGAGTTGAGTGCTGATATAAGTTTTGCCTTCCTTGCACTTCTGGGAGATGGAAGTGGTTTGTTGACTATTTCTGCTAATGACACCTAGGCTCTGCTTCTGTGATTTTGATTGCTGCCTTCTGTGCTCTAGGATTTTGACATTGCTGGCCAATATGACCCCATGATTCCCGATGCAGAATGTCTGAAGGTCATGCACGAGATCCTAAGTGCCCTGCAGTTTGGAGATTTCCTCATCAAAGTAAGGGAGCTTGGCCAGAATGGGCCTATGCTTACAAGCCTGTGAAAAATGAAAATGGGATGAAAGTCAAAGTGGAAGAAAGGAATACTGAAATGAGTGACTTTATTCTGATGTCTGTGTCTGACTTCTACAGAATGTTTCTTCTTTTTCTCCAGATCAATGAAAGGCGTATTTTGAATGGGATCTTTACAATATGTGGTGTTCCCAGTACCAAATTTGAAACGGCTTGCTCCACCCTTGACAAGCTGGGCAAGGTAAACAGTTAAAGAATATTCCGTTTTAATCTGCTAAGCCTGGACGACATCTTAAAACAGCTCAGCTGTGTTGTCATTGAGCATACACCAAATAAGTGGAATAATAATTATTATTAGGCCTTGTCAAACTGCCATTCCTCATGCCACTGTCACATAAATCTTGGTAAAACTATCCGTTTAAATGGTCTATTGCTAGCAAAGAGTTTTAGTGATCAGCCAGGAGAAGAACTGCTTTAGTTGAGCATATGCCAAGCTAATTCTCTCCTCTCCTCTACAGGTGACATGGAAGGAAGTGAAAAATGAGATGGTTGAAGAGGATGGGATTTCTCCAGATGCTGTAGATCGCATTGGTGAATATGTTCAGCTCCATGGTGAGTTTCAATTTAGGCACCATTTAGTGTGTACGTACTTGACCTCTAGTCTGACACAGCCAGACTGGCTGAGAACTCATGCATGTTTCTGTGCAGATCAAGTGCCCTGCTGCTATTTCCTGTGCTCGTAGAATTATCTGGCTCTAGTGTTGAGAGAAATGGAAACATTTCAGACTGGGCAAGGAGTAGCAGCCTTGAAAAAGACTAAAATTGACGGACCAAGTGTTGTGGAGACTGCTGGAGTTGGAGCTTCTTCCACCCTCTATTTGCCTCTCCTGCAGGGGGGATATGTCTGATTGAGAAGCTACTTCAGGATCCAAAGCTCTCGCAGAGTAAGCTGGCCATAGAAGGACTGGAGGACATGAAGTTGCTGTTTGAATACCTTACCCTGTTTGGAATCATAGATCAGGTGAGTTGGAATATTACGTTAGCCCTTTCTGGCTTTTCCTGGCGTTCTTTCACTCTTGCCTACTAATGAGATTCCTGGCTGCATTGCAGGTAACCATGGACCTGAGTCTGGCTCGTGGTCTAAATTATTACACTGGCGTGATCTTTGAGGCTGTGCTGCTGCACCAACAAAGTGACGCAAAGGAGTCTCTCAGGATAGGCAGTGTGGCTGCCGGTGGACGCTATGATGGACTTGTAGCAAAATTTGACCCCAAAGGGAAAAAGGTGCCTTGTGTGGGAGTGAGCATCGGTGTTGAAAGGATCTTTTCCATCCTAGAACGGAATGCTGAGGTAAGATTTATTCTTAATGTGTGATCGGAAAGGAAATGATAGAGTTGAATATAGTGATTCTATGTGTTCTATGATGCACAATTCACAGGATAGTAAACAGAGTGCTTGTAGTCACATGTCATCTGAAGTAGTGAGAAAGAAGCAATTCCTTCTCTTTGGTCTAGTGGCCATGGATATTATCTGAATGTGTTATTTAAGCCAAATATTTAATACATTATGATTCTTGGCATGCCTTCTTTTTCACGAAAACTTCATACAACACACCTTCCTATCAGCAGAAAGAAAGGGAGACCTATAAAAACCTGACTTTGAATGTTTGAGTTAGTTTTTTTAAGCAGGCTTTTAAAACAGTAAATAATAAAAGCAGATATTTGGTTTAAAGTCACTGTATCTAGTTTTATTTCTTTTAAATGGTGCTTTTCTGACAAGGTTTGTTTTTTATTTGATTTTTATTCTGTTAATTCTTCTATGAACTTCATTTGTTGGTGGAGAGGTACAAATTTCCTGTGGTCTATTGGTTTGCCTGTCTTATGCAGGAAAGCAAAATCACTGATGCTTATTTAACACTGCACTCAGATCTTGGGGAAAGTTCCACTAAAATATTCAGGGCAGGGTTTTAGCAATGCATGAGGGAATGGCTGCATCTTTTAATGGACAACAGAAAGCAATACTGAACTATTGCTTGACTTCTCCAATACCAGCCCTCTTATGCAATGAAAGAAGACACAAACATTGCATGCACTTTTGTCTGCTTAAAGTCTCTGATGGCTAGCATGCATTTGGAATGGCACAGAGGTGACACTGCACAAACAGCTTAACTTCTGGCACTTAATAGATGGGCGGGGTATAAATAATAAGTTGTTATTATTATTATTATTATTATTATTATTATTTATTATTATTATTATTAGCTTGATTTTGCTAAATAACAAGTGGTTGGTTAATATGTATTAGAATAGCTTTACAACAAAAATCCACAAAGGCAAATACTTGTGTGAAATTTGCCCTACCCCAGATACAGCAGCACTGAGTTACTTAGTTGATCTCTTTCCCTCAACTCAATTATCAGGACAGGATAAGGGTCACAGGATGAAGGTCCTTTCTGTTTCCATCAGAATTCATGCAGGTGCCTGTGCAGAATCACAAGCAATGCACAAGGGGGTGGCTTTCTCTGTTTTTCTCCCAGTCCCAAGTGCCTCATATATTGCCTCAGAACTTGGATGTTCCATTTAGCTATTGTGGTGAATAGCTATTAGATGACTTCTCAGTTGCTGAATCTTTTTGAAAAGACCCCAAAGACAGTGACAGTCGCTACGTTATCTCAGCAGTCTCTGTAAGAGAGACAAATACGATTGCCTCCCATATTTTGGTGCTGAGGAGGTGGTCTGCTGCAGGCCACCCTGAATTCACAATTGATGTAGACTGTGATGATTTAAGCTCATGCTATTTATTACTCCCAGTACACAAATTGTAGGTGGCTTCAGCTTTCCATGAACAGTGTATGCCAGGGGTCAGCAAACTTTTTCAGCAGGGGGCTGGTCCACTGTCCCTCAGACTTTGTGGGAGGCCGGAATATATTTTGAAAAAAGAAAAAAGAAAAAAAACAAATTCTCATACCCTACAAATAACCCAGAGATGCATTTTAAATAAACACACACATTCTACTCATGTAAAAACACCAGGCAGGCCCCACAAATAACCCAGAGATGCATTTTAAATAAAAGGACACATTCTACTCATGTAAAAACATGCTGATTCCTGGACCGTCCACAGGCCGGATTTAGAAGGTGATTGGGCTGGATCCGGCCCCCGGGCCTTAGTTTGCCTACCCATGGTGTATGCTGATGTTACCGCGGGGTGTTAGGGGAAGGGTAGTACCTCTGTTGGGGGACTCATCTCTCATCTGTGCCTCCCAGAAGCTGTCAGCATGCAACAGCAGCCACACCCTGGGAATGACTTCAAATGGCTGTCTAAACCTGGTGAGGGTAGCCAATAGGTCTCAAACCCTCAGTGAGTTAGGGACTTTCTCTGCATGCAAAGACAGGCTCTGGCAGATTGAGTGGATGAGTGGGTCTAATGATCAAGAAGGCATTGTGCACATGCTGTAGAGGGAAGTGAGATGGGGCAGATGGGGCTCATCAACCTGGGAAGGTAGCCCATCTAGGAGAAGAAAAGCTCTGATCCTAAACCTCCTCTGCCTTGTGGGATATATTTGGGGAAAGCAAAGGCTAAAGAATAAACCCTACACAAATCCAGAGTGGAGTCCCTAAGATGGTTGGATGGTGTCTTGTATGCCACCTTCTGGCAATTCCTGCAGCCAAGCTGGTGCCAAACGCCATGCTCTGCTTTCCTTTGGACCACGTCAGCGAGACTGAGAGGAGAGTCTTGTTGTCTGGGCAGCTCACATCCTTCATATGCACATTGCCCAGGCTTGCACCCCCAGAGAGGTCACTTTGCTGCTGCTAACGCAGTGGTTTGACTTCATCCCCAGAGGCACACTCCATTGTCTCTCGAGACAGATAAATAGCAACAACCACAACAAAATGTGACTGCATCAGTGCTTTTAGTTCTCTTTTATCTTTTTAATTTTAGTATACTGTATACCTAATCATATTTTGGAATTTTGATAAATACGGATGGCCAACTTCTTAAAATTAGAGGTGAAACTAAGCTTTATTGGAAAAAGAAAAAGTACAAAAGTAGCATTATTAGAGCGCATTTATTATGACCAATTTCCAGGTCTCAACAAAGACTTGAACTGAGTTGTGGCTTGATTGGTAAATACTGTAATAAGGTTCCAGTTGATGTGATGAGCTTCTGTCCCTGCTCCCCCTTCAGATGTCCAAGGAGAAGATCCGCGCAACAGAGACGGAAGTGCTGGTGGCAGCTGCTCAGAAGAACTTCCTTGCGGAGAGAATAAAGCTCATCTCTGAACTGTGGGGTGCTGGCATCAAGGTAACACTGAGGAGTCAGGCTATACTGCTGCATTTCTAGAAGCTGGTATTATTTGAGTCCAAAGTACAAGGAAGTGGGAGAGCCTTCTCAGAGAATAAGGTCATAACCAGGCCCTCCAGCCTCTTTCATGCTTGATGCAGACCTGGAATTTAGGGACAGCATCAGCCTCTGATTTTGTAGAAAGTCTGTATAGTAGTGCTGATGATTCAAATAAATATCTGGGCAGTTCACTTGCTACTACATGCTACACACAGTGTGAATGTCTAACTTTCAAATCACTGTGAACTTATTTCAGGCAGAGATGCTGTATAAGAAAAACCCCAAACTTCTGGACCAACTTCAGTACTGTGAAAAAAATGGGATCCCACTTGTTCTCATCATAGGGGAAGAGGAGCAGAAAGATGGAGTTGTGAAACTTCGCGATGTCACTAGCAGGAAAGAGGTTGGTGTTTCAAAGGCGGCTACCAGAATCCATTGATCTGTCACTCATTTTAAAAAAAAAGTTTATAGTTTGAATTTCCTTCAGTGGAAGATAATTAGTTTTGATAAATTATGCTAATCCCATGTTCTCTATCTGCTTTTCAGATCATTGTTCCTAAGGAGAATTTCATAGAGGAGATCAAGAAGAGATTGGAAAAATAGAACCCTTTCATTTCATTTCTTTTCTTTTCCCTATTTTAAATTTGGCAGCTGTGTGCCCTCAGAGAATTTTGCAGGTCCATAAAGCCACCTGGAGTTATTCAGCATTTTTGAAGAACTGGACTTTTGAGAAACATGGAATACAGAACAGATGAGACAATGCTTTTATTGGGACAAATAACATTTTAGAAGTTGAAAGCAAGTTTTCACATTGCATTCGGTTGCCACCTTTTTCCACCCTGTTTTTGTGCCTTTAATAATGATTTGGGAGATTCCCAGGTTTTGAGGCTATTTTATAGGAATTTGTTTGTGGAATCCAAATCATCTGTGTCTGGGAAATATATTGTAGTTTTGACCCTAAAACCAATAGTGGCAGTCAATGACTGATGCTAATTTCTAACCAGCATAAATTTGCTCTTATATCCACATTGCATAACTAAATCACAATGAAAATATACAGGAATAGCATCTGATATTACAGCAACCAGGAATTATGTATTCTATTTAATTACTTCTACTTTTATATGTGAAATCAGAATATTTCTCCTGAACAGGCAAAATATTAGGATTTCACGACCAGTTTACAGGGACAAAATTATTGACAGCAAGTTGATGTCCTGATAGTATCTAAATATAACAGGTTCATTTACCTGAACCTAAGCTGGCAAAAAGCAAAACTTCTTTCTTTGGTCTTTGTTGGAGAGTACAGAAAAAGCAACATGAAATGTGGTACAGGTGCTCTTCCTTTCTGTTTCCCAAACACTCCGCAGAAAACCTACGCACTGGACTGTGCCACATTGAACTGAATGAAAGGGAATAGTGAATTCTGCATTCACACAGAAGGGTTTGAATAGTTAATACTGAAACTTGCAGCCTTGGTTTTCCCCCCTCTAAAAACAACAACAGCCTTAGTTAGGACAATGTGCTCCATAGTTGTTCGTGTCTCTTGGAACAACCAAAATAGGGTGATATCCTATGTTTGCCATGCTCTGTATGACCCCATTGAAATAAATGGAATGAAGTTCATTAACAGCAGTAGGCCTACTCTGCATATGACTTACTATATATCTATATATATTTATATAAATAGTATTTAAATTATACTGTGTATAATGTACAGTTAGATGTTCTTAATGACATTGAATAACAATAATAATGAAAATCCCCCTAGTGGAGAAGTTTGTCATTGCTACTATTGTAGCTAACTTTTACTGAGTATTGTACAGTAATATCTCTGCGAATGTCCACCTCGTCATCCATTCCGGCAAACGTCCGCGGCAAACCCGGAAGTACTGGAACGGGTTACTTCCGAGTTTGCCGCATGCGCAGGCCCACCAAATAGTGCTTCACACATGTGCAGAAGTGCAAACTGCTCCGTGTGCGCGCGCAGATGCGGCACTTTGCCCTGCATCCTTTTCAGATAGCGGCCGGGGCTCCGGAATGGATCCCGGTCACAAAACAAGGTATGACTGTATAGTGGTACCTTGGTTTATGAAATTAATCCGTTCTGGAAGTCCGTTCTTAAACCAAAGCATTCTTAAACCAAGGCATGCTTTCCCATAGCAGTGGGGAACTCAATTTACAAATGGAACACACTCAGCAGGAAGCGGAACATATTCTGCTTCCAAGGCAAAGTTCACAAACCAAAACACAGACTTCCAGGTTTGCAGCGTTCTTAATCCAAGTTGTTGATAAACTAAGCTGTTCTTAAACCAAGATACCACTGTACAGGCAGTAACTGATTTGCACGGGGGTTACGTACCAGACCCCCATGCGCCTTGGTGGGACCCGCATAATGCTGTCTCACCTGCCCCCATCCTATCCCAATCCCCTTTTGTGATGTTTTGTGACATTTTCAGGTCACTTCCAGGTTTGGCACGATGCACATGTGCACAGTTGCACACCTATCAGACATATATAAAATGGCCACTGCCTGTATCATGCACTCCTGTATATAGCAGAAAATTTAACTGTGATGCAGGTTAACTGTGATGCATGCACACAAATAAATACAAATCTAGTGGCAGCCTCATATCAAGCCCAAAGGAAGTCCATACGTTTAAAGCCTGCACACTTTCTTCTCTGGTACAGTCTCCACATTCTCTGACCATGATGAGCCTATAAAATGTAAAGGTTGCTCATGTATTTTATTTTTTTCAAAAAGGACTATTCACTTAAAAATAAAATAATTCTGTAGGTTGTTTTTTTAAAAATGTCTCTCTGTTGCTCTGATGATGGGCTATTCTTTGATGTCACCAAGTTATGCCCCAGCTAAAAAAGATTGGCAAGTTAAATTAATGGAATAGGCTGAAATGGCAAAATTGACAAACTAAGAGGAAGAGACTACAATGAATTTAAGGAAGAATGGAAGATGTTGATTGCATATATACAATACATTGTACACAGGTTAATACATTAGCAGGGTTTTAGGACTACTTGTAATTTTTATATGAATGGACAATAGGTAATTTAAATGGTTTTCAATTTTAACAATGGGCGTGTGGTATGTTGATTAATAAAGGAACCAAGGAAGGGACTTGGAGGAAGTCAATCTGTTTTGTTTTGTTTTGTTTTGTTTTGATTTGATTTTGTATCATTTTTTATTTGTGGTTGTTTTTTGTTTTTTGAAAATTAATAAAATGTTATCAAGTTACACCCAAGCGGGCTGACTTGCATGGACATTTTCACACAGAGCAACCTGTCTGAAATTTATGGCCATTCCACTGAAAAAGTTCACTTTCATCTTCAGTTCTAACCCCATGGAACACAGCAGAACTTACTTCACATTAATGTACCTAGATTCCACCTGTTAACTGCAGTAAATCCTGCAGGACAGAATTGAAAATAAGCTCCATTGAGCTCCATTGATGTTGAATTAGGAGAGTTTCAGATGCAAAGACTGGTTTCATTCAGTGTCAAGTTCCTCAGGGTGAACTGTATTAGTCTGTTACAGCAAAAATAGTCATAGCGGGTGGCACTGTGGGTTAAACCACAGAGCCTAGGACTTGCTGATCAGAAGGTCGCCGGTTCGAATCCCCTTGACGGGGTGAGCTCCTGTTGCTTGATCCCTGCTCCTGCCAACCTAGCAGTTCAAAAGCACATCAAAGTGCAAGCAGATAAATAGGTTCCACTCCGGCGGGAAGGTAAACAGCGTTTCCGTGCGCTGCTCTGGTTCGCCAGAAGCGGCTTAGTCATGCTGGCCACATGACCCGGAAGCTGTATGCCGGCTCCCTCGGCCAATAAAGCAAGATGAGCGCCACAACCCCAGAGTCGGTCACGACTGGACCTAATGGTCAAGGGTCCCTTTACCTTTACCTTTTAACCTTGCTATGCCTGTCTAGGGGCCATCTGTTTTTGGAGCAGGGGCCCGGTAGGAATTTTGCCACTTGGCTGATTGGCTGGTGCCACTTGGTTTTTGCCTACCGTGTAGCAAATTGTCGCAACTTTGTAAGGTTTACCTTTACCTTACAATCCTATACACACATTTGTGTAAGCCCCATCAAATTGAGTAGACTATCCAGACGCACTCACTTGGCGGCAGCAGTCCCGTACCTCCGGCGACACACATCCAATGGACCTGTGTGCATGCTAATAGCAGAGTCAGCGAGAAGCCAGACTGTCCAGATATGTGGCATCAAGTATTTTATTATTTACAGCAAATTAAGTAAAAGAACATAACTAGCAGTGCGAGTTACATCTCACACAATCATCCTCTCTGAGAGAGAAGAACAAAGAACAGAAGTTTTACAACCTTCCGTTCCCACACATACAATCATAACAAATTATATCATCCGGTCATGCGACCTCTGCAATAGTTGCACTGGAAACACTGACATACACGTGTAAGATCACAGGGTTAGTCAGCAACTTTGTACACAGCTGCCTAGGAGTGGTTCCTCTGAGCCCAGTGGGATTTTGAATCCAAGCAGATGTGCATAGGATTGCATGGTTAAATACAAGACTCAGTTGGAAGATATTTTCCACATAGCTAGTGGTGTTAGCTTGTTGCAACAAAATTAGCAGTCTTGCAGCACCTTAGAAACTCTGACATTTATTATTTAAGCTTTATTGGACTGCGTTACAATTCATGCTTGAAATGTTGAGCTACAGGTATACACACACGGGGTCTGAGGGAAACTAAATGGGAAAATTCAGCAACAGTGATAATTATGTGATTTATTATTAGTACTATTAATAGAACAGTTGTTGATAACACAGGCATCCTGACAGTAAGCAGGTCTCGGTTCCGATTTCTGAATGAAGTTCTACAAGACCAGAAATTAATGAACATGACTCAACAGGTCTCATTTTGAGTAAGCATTAGTGAGCATGCAACCCTCAGTCCCACAAGCAAACCTCTCAAATGAATTCTGCAATTTCAGAGTTGCAGTCTTCCTTTTAGTATCATTTCCCAAATAAGGGATATTTTAATATTAACCACTTTCCTCCTTTCCCCTTGTATGTTGCATATGGTTTTGGGGAGTTTTATAAAGCCTGCAGGCAGAGACAGTCTTGTTTTTATCGATATGGTAATTCCACTTTAGGGGCCTTTTTTGGCTAAGAGAGGGGTCCAAATGCTCTAAGGAAAATTTCCTTAGAAATAAAAACAGAGAACAGGAATTAGGCTGCCTCACTAAGCATTGCTCCGACTGGTGAAACATCACAAGGACAGGCTCGGGATTGAATCTTTCCGCAGGGCTCAAACAGAGCTGTTACAGGCTTGGCCAGGGCAACAGCCTGCACTCTCCTGGCAATTTCGCGCAGCTCGGCCCAATGGTTGCAGTGGCTTGAATTAATTAATTTAAATGAATATTTAGAGTGTTGTTGTGCTGATTTTGACTGTTTCATGTTAGCCACCTGAGCTGGCTTCGCTGGGAGGGCGGAATAATAAATTATTTTCTATTTATTTATTAATATTTTTTACATATAATAATGATTAATAATAAAATAATTTTTATTGCCAGAGTATCCTGGAAGGCTGAAATGCTGTTTAAACACACACACAAACAGAGCCATTTCTGATGTCAGACTTGGGAGCTAAATATATGCAGATGGGTTCAGAGAAGGGGACATGTAAACAAAGTGCTATTCGCGTCACTTCCTCTCTCCCATTCTTTCATTCCCCGCCCCGCCCCTCTCCTCCTCGTGCCATTCCCAGCCCGTCTTGCATCAGCCTCCCGGACGCCGGCCGAAGACTGAAGGGCGGGCAGCTCTCGAGGCATCGATGCGAGCCAGTGCGCATGCTCAGAAGCGGGCATCGCCTGCTAAAGAGCGGGCAGCCCTCGCAGCCTCGAGACAGGCGACTGCGCATGCTCGGAGGCGCTGAGGTAGCGAGCGAGGAGGAAGCGAGGCGCCGGCGGCCCCTTTTCCCTTTCAGCCGCTGAGCGAGGTGGGCGGCGGTGGCCATGGCTGAGGAGGAGTCGCTGAGGAAGCAGGCCGACCTGGTGCGGCGCCTGAAGCAGGACAAGGCCCCCCAGGAGGAGGTGAGGCGGGGCGGGGGGTGGCCCTCATATTGCAGGCCGAAGGTGGGCGGGCGGGCGGCGCCCCCGGCAGAGGCTGCGGGGAAGAGCGGCCGCCGCCGCCGCCTCCTTCCTTCCTTGCCCGGCCCTGTCATTTGGGACGCGGGCGGGGAGGCCTCCGAGGCGCTGACAGCCTGGAAGAAGCGACCCAGAGGTTTCCGCGCAAGTCGTTATCGGGGGCGAAAAAGATGGATCTCTACAGGATAAAATATATACACATACTGTATATGTAATTAGGAAACGGGGACATTATTATTATTCTATGTTTCCCCCTGACAAGGTCTCAGACTGGACACGTCAAAATTAATAGACCTAATTTATCATAGAATTTTAGAGTGGGAAGGGATCCCCCAGGTGTCATCTAGTCCAACCTCCTGCATTGCAGGAGCATCCGTGACAGGTGCTTAAAAGCCTCCAAAGAAGGAGAGTTTTCCTCTGTTTTCCTTTCTCCTTCCTTCCTCTCTCTCTCTAACATGTGAGTTCTAACACACATCAATTAAATAAGCAATTTGTAAATGGATCCAAACTGTTTTAAATCCATCTTATGCTGAAAGATTTGTATTTTGTAAAATGAGCATAGGA